CTGTCTGTGAAGGACGCTTTAATAATCCAGACATTTGGCATCATATCGTCATGACAACATGTTGGACTAAAATGGGGAAAACTGGGAGACAGAACTAACAGGACTCGGGTGGGGAGGTTTTCACTCAGACTGCTCGGTTAATTAGACCAAAGCAGCTTTTAAAATTCAGTCAAAACTGTGAATCTTCCCTAAAAATGTTATTTTCTTATCAGCTTCATATCAGCGCTTATCTGGAAATATGGTTCTCAGTCAGATTCTGTGTGCGCCACGCTTCTATCCTTTTAAATCTTCGCTGTGAAAGCGACAGATGTGATGAAGAGGAGCTGTTCTGCTCATACTGCCCCTCAGCAGGCTTCCTGACTTTGGCCAATCGGAAAAAGAAACAAAAAGGAGGCCTTGAAGGGAAAGCAGCTGATTTCAGCTGGAGGCAGCGAGGCTCTGCATGAAGGGCAGAATCAGATAAATGAGGATGATTTTGAACTGTGAATCATGCAAAGCTACGCTGGCGGTGTAATGACAAACAGGTGGAGCTGGAAATGAGCAGAAGAAATCCACTTTGAAGGTTTAATGAACGCGTGTTGTGGACGTTGCCATGTTGAGAATTCCCATGATGCACTGCTGCTCACGTTTGGCCAACTTCTCTTGTTTTTCTTTGTTTACTTTGTCACGCATGTGTTGTACCGCCTTAACTGTCCAGGGGGCGCTGTGCAGCGGGACTACAGGATTATCAGGGACCAGCGGAGCCCCGTGCCCCTCAGATGTGAGCCGACTCGTATCTCAGGCGTGTTTTTTGTTTTTACCTTTGTGCTACGTCTCACAGGGTCAAACGTCACGTCTCCTTAGAGAAACTTTCTTTAAACACTTTTTGTATTTGTTACAATGAGATCCACCTGAAAACCAAAATGCTGTTTTTTCTACTGCTTAAAAATAATAATGAGGTACAAGCCGACATGTACAGGTTGCTATGCTAATTATTTTATCGCCTAATTTTCAGATGACGCCATTCCAGAAATGGATTCCAATGTTTGTGTGTTTGGACAAGCTGGCGATAATTTAAAGGACCTCGTCAAGCTTTTTATCTTCATTCTGATTCGTAACGATGGTACCACGTGTCCGTGTTGGTTGTTTTGTTGTGTTAGAAGGAGTAGGCCGATAAGCTGGGCTCCGGTTCGCCTTGCGCGCCGCTGCCCTGAGGTGAACCGCCACGGTCTTTGTGGCGCTTGTCGCAGGGAACGGGCCAGATGTTGCTGTAGATGTTGATCCTGCATGAACCGTGAAGTTGTTGTTTAGACTGTGCTGTAGCTGAATTAGCATTAAATTATGATGTTTGAACCTCTGCCTCTTCATGTGTCCGTTTTCTGAGCCGGCCTCTTAATAAAGCTTCACACAAACATCTGGACCTGTTTTCACAGCTGATACTGATCCATGCTTAAACACCTGGAGGTATGAATGCACTGGCTGCATTCTTTCCTAATGCCCAGCAGGGGGCAGTGGTGACGGGTCAATAATCTGTCCCTCAGTTTCTCACTCGCTCATCATCCCAACAATCTGAATATTTGATGGAAATAAATCCTGAAAATAGTTTCTGATGGTCAAAGGCCTCAAGCACAGTGCTCATTAAACACAGTCATATCCATGATGTTATTATTTGATTCATTTGATTATAACGGTATTAAGTAAAAGTGCATTCAAACTGTGCTTCAGCAGATACAAGGCCGCTGAATTTTAGTCTAAAAATGCCTCAGAGTGTTTTAACTATAATCTTTGAACTATTTAAAGATTACATATAAATATGGGTATGACAGTGCGACAGCATGATTAAAGTCTAAATGAGCGTCTGAAGACGTGCTGCCGAGTGAAGAAGCCGAACACGTGGCCAGCACAGGGAGGATGCTCTGAATATGAAATATAAAACTGAAGTGGGCTCTCGGCTGATTCCACATCCTGGATCTCAGCCGGCCGCATGGATGCAGCAGAGACCCCGACGAGTCCGCTTCATCCGCAGCTGTAACAGTCAGTGACGCTTCAGGTGGAGCACCTCAGCGAGCTGAAAGTCCGCCATGTTGGACCCGTCGATCATCGTGTAGCCTGACCAGCGAGGCTCCAGAACACAGCGCTTCCTGCTGTATGAACGGTTTCCCAGCCTCTCGTCAGGGCTTCAGCTTATTTATGACCCGTGCTAAGAAGGAGCCGGACAGAACAACAGTTCTTCAGGTTTCCGAAGGCCTTCCAGGGTCTTTGAACATTGGCCAGTTTCTCACCATTTTTCCGGTCCTTCTACCTAACGATT